TGGACGAGTGGTGAGTGCCTGTGAGTACTTTACCAACAGAAATACAGTCTATAGTATACGTATGAGAATTGCCTTTTGCATCCTTTTTGACATAAAAAATAGTGTTAAAAGAACTCAAGTAGTGTCTATTTGTTTAGAAATCTAGCCGTTGAAGGTATCTGGATCTACAGTCTACAGTAATATCGGTATTCCAATAGTGTCAGGTAAATATTGGACTGCAATTTGTGTCTCATGCATGATTCTACATCATAAAGATTAATGAAGATGAAGAGCTGTTAGCGTATAGCATCTGTTAAAAATATGGTGCTGCTGGTTACTGTAGCTCTTGATGTCAACACGATTGATTGATGAAACATCATCAGATCGCTGACATCATTTCGAATGCGTCTGTCAGTCGATTGACGGACTGTGGCATTTTCGAACTGATTCCAAATGCGAAATAACTCTATCGAACACGCACATTCAACATACTATACTGTACACACAAAAGAACAAGTTTTTAGTAAGAGAGAAATGTATCTTTTCAGCCAGTAAGAGAATGACAAATCCTAGTGCTGCTGCTCGTACCAATTTGACCTTTAAAGATGTCGACATTTCCCGTGAGAAACTTGGCGAAGGAAGCTTTCGTGAGTGTTACGAAGGCATTTACATTGGGGGTCATAGAAACACGCAAGATGCGGCTTGCAAACGTTTCAAGTCGCAATATGCTGCGAGCATCGAACAAGAGTTCTTTGCGCAAGATGAATTCAAGATATCCGAAAGTGCCATCCATATGGCGGAATGTTGGAATGAATTTTGCGACAAGAATAAGAAAATTATAATGTCTCAGGGGAGCGTCTATGAACAAGATGGTCGGAAGTATCTGATTGAACCTCTCATCAGAGACTTTACAAAATTCAATTCCAATTCTGGATGGATTGGTGATGCTGCTTCGGAATGGCAAGTTCGCTGTATGGAAGCATTTACTCACTTTACGTATCACAAATCAGGTGGACAATCGATCGTCTGTGATATTCAGGGACGCTACCGGAAGGATAAATTCAAAAAAACCAAGTGTCGCTTTGAATTGAGCGATCCAGCCATTTGCTCTCGTTCAAGATCGTATGGGCTAACAGATTTGGGTGAAAAGGGCATTGACTCTTTTTTTGCGAACCATCAATGCAATGAATTTTGTCAACATACCTGGAGCCGACCCAAGCAAACCAAAGCTTGGTTTCCTGTGGCCAAAGGAACCTCCATGGTATCCTCCGAAGTGGCTGCACAATTGAGCCTGACGACACCACCTAGATTCCGACTTGGAAGGAATGGATTGTTGGAAATTGCTGAAGAAGAAGGAAAAGAAAATAAGTTCGCAATCGTGGCGAACAGCAACATTGATTCTTCTTCCAGAAAGAACAAGTCTAAAGGGAAGAACAATGCTGATGGTTTGGCGACGTTTGACAGTCTTGAAGTTGCCGGGGACCATCATTATCATCAAGTCGTGGGTGAAGTTGGAGATAGTGGAAGTGATTGGAGTAGTGATAACGGCGATGGCGATGGTGACAATAATAGTGGAAGCGACTGGAGTAGTAGTCGTGGTGACGATGATGATGATAATAAGGCCGGGGAAAACAATGGCGGGGACAACAACATCAGCAGCCTCATCATTAACAAGGGATATGCAGAATACGACGATGACGAAGTCGCAGGGGACATTGCCAGCAATGACTACAACCATGATAACAGCTATGACGTTTATGGCGATGATTATGGAAGCGAATATGGTGATGTTGATGAGAACAATACAGATGTATTTTTCATTGGAACTGGGATTGGTAGTGATGACGAAAAGATTGTAGGTGAAGACAGCGGGGATGACAGTGACTTTCATGATGATGATAATGACAACAAAAAGGGCAAAGATGCCGGCAATACCGGTGAGAACGAGATCATTTTCTGTTAAAGAAAAATCGCATATGGTAAATCTAGAAACAAATGTGCACCATACATGAAGCATCTAGAGATGGATTGATGTTATGTGAATCTATTTGGTTTTTGCATGCGTGAGTTGGTTTGTCTTGTCCGCCGAGTGATTGAGTCGACAATGATCATTTTTCTAGTTGACTTTCACCGTTCATATTACTGTACTTTAATAGTCGCTTTCATCTGAATCCTCTTCGACAACTCCCATCAACATGTTACCTCTCATTCTGAAGGTGGCTCGACTGTGCAAAGACAGTTGATTCGAATGCAGGGACGAGACCATGGAAGTCCCCCTTGACTGGGGGAACCACTGACTTGGGCAACGAGGTCTGCTCCAGTTGTCCTCACAGAATTCATTGCATTGATGGTTGGAAAAGAAGGACTCTATTCCCTTTTCGCCCAAATCGGTGGGTCCATACCTGCGTGTCCGGGAGCATATAGCCGGGTCTCCCAATTCAAATCGCGATTTGGCCTTGGAAAAACGATTGTGACGATACCGTCCCTGAATGTCACAAACAATCATTTGTCCACCTGACTTGTGATATGTGTAGTGTGTAAAGGCTTCCATGCAGCGGACCTGCCAATTCGAAGTATCCCCAATCCAACCAGTGTTGGATGTGAATTTGTCATAATCCCGAATCAGAGGTTCCACAATGTACCTTCGACCACCCTTGGTGTGGAGTGACCCACGGGATACCATTATTTCTTTTCCATATGGGCAAACATCATTCCAGGATTCGGCGAAGTCAATAGTCTTATCGGCAATTTGAAAATCCTGAGCAAAGAACTCGTTTTCCATGCTGGTATATTGTGACTTGAATCGTTTGCAAGCGGCAGCTTGGTTGTTTCGATTGCCTCCAATGTATATTCCTTCGAAACATTCTCGAAAGGTTCCTTCACCAAGCTTGTAATTGGTCACCTTTACATTATTGGATGTCAAATTGGTACGGGCAGCGGTGGACATTATTTTGCTTTGATCTTATATTTATGGTGCTTCAACACGCTGCCCGTTTGAGAATAGACTGACCCGTTAGCAATACCGGTAGGAAATGAACTACTCTTGGATTCTTTCTTCCACTCAAAAGGCAAAAGAGGAGATGCCTGCTGTCTTTTGAAACTAGTCTTGCAAATTGCAGTATGACATTATTTGTGTTTTTAAAAATTGAAATCTATCGAAAGATTTTTCACTCGGAGGAGTCCATTTTCGCTAGAATGACGTGGTGATATTTGGAAAATTTGAGTTTCGACACGTACCCGCCGTAATACCGCTACCATACCGGTAGGTATCCCGCTTATAATAACTCCAGTAATAGGTGCAACAGAAGAAATTCAGTTCGCAGACATAGGAAAAGGAATTGAGAAAAGGGACTCTGCAGTTGCCTTCACCTAGCTACATCCGCTGAGCGTGCATTGTCAGAATAATATACAGCAGGAGAGCTACAGAAAGTGAATTTGACACCAAGCAACAACATGACGACCACTGAAAGCCGCCTGAATTCTCAGCAGAAATTCTGCCAATTGTTCTTGTTGGTGGTGCTTCTGTTTGCTATACTTCCAGAATCAGTGAGATCATTTCAACCAAACACCTCCAGAAGGATACGATCGCCAACTTTGGTGAAGCAACGAACATTTTCAATGCACTTTCTGAAATCGTCTTCCCTGAATGACATGAATTCCGCTGTCGACGTGGATTCTGCCCTTGTCATTCCTTGTTTGGATCAATGGGTAACATTACCTAGTGGAGAAATGATGGGAATTGTGTACCATTCGAATACTGAAAATGAGGGACTATCGATGAACGACGGCGATGTCATTGCCACTTCACCGGTAGCAGCAGATGATTTTGAACGCTTGCAAGAAGGAATGAATGTGGCCACCATTTCGGGGACTCAGTATGCACTATTGAATCGAGCCACTGTTGAAATGGCTCAACATTACAACTACTTGCTCGAGAATACGGACAGCACTGCAAGTGATATGCCAAGCCCACCAATTCCAACAGCGTCCTCTTTGATGCCGGAATCAACGACGGCAGACAGGAGCGCTACCACCGATACCACTGAAACACCGGAAAGCCAAGACAAGGCGAAGCAATTGTTACAAAAAGTCAAGGACGCGGGAGTAAGTGGTGCAATTTCCTACGCGCTTTGGGAACTGGCCTTTTGGACCTTGTCCGTTCCCGTCTGTCTCGTGGCCTATCAGTCATTGACAGGTCATTGGCCCGATTTCCAATCGTCTGAAGATTGGAAGCAATTGGGTGGGGAAGCCTTTGTTTTTGTCAATCTGGCTCGGTTTGCTGTACCCATTCGTATTGGATTGGCCTTGTCCACTGTACCATGGGTCCAAACTAATTTGGTTGACCGATTTTCCAAGGGTGGTGGAGCAGCAGCAGGCGTGCCACAGCAACACCACCAACAACAGCTCAATGCAGAACAAATCAAAGCAATGGAAGAGTACAAAGACTACCTTACGCAACGATCTCCTGAGCTACGACAGAGGCTTGAAGCTCACCATGAAGAACCGAAAATGAGCGCTTATGAAGAGTATGAACAGTACCGTCAACAGCGGTCGCCAGAGTTGCAACAACAATTGCAACTCTATCAAGAAAGAGCTATTGACGACGAGCCGTCGTCAATATCAGAAGAGAGTGCCATAGAATCATACCAACGATACCTAGAACAGCGACCCAATGAGGAACTACAAGAACGGTTTCAGCACCATGGCGATGATGATCAACAGGGGCAACAAGGACAAAAACCAGAACCAGAATTCAAGGCTGCACCTCAATCTTTGGAACAGATTTCCGAGCTGAAGCAGGAAGAAGAAGCGTACATATCGTAACTATTTCGCTTCCATACCTATTAGTGTTAATTTTTAAAAATAGGTATACGCACCCCTCCGCTCAGTTTGCTGGTCGAAATCAGACCGTATATTTTCGTCACCACAATAATAAAAGCAGTGCGTGAAGTGTTCAAAACCTGAAAATCGAAGAATATAACTCGGAGGCTGTACAAACCTACTGCATATGGTACACATCAGACGAGTTCAAAAACAGCAAACAATGCGGATACGAATTTAATACCGAAAACGAAACCAGACCACCTTATATTTTTAGGCAGTCTATAAAATCCTACAGAAAGATTTGAAATCACCGACGCAGCGGATATACCATTGAGTATAGCCATCATCACATTTCTAGAGTAATTCATAAAGCATCGCAGTAAGATAAATACGATGACAGAAACTGACGAAGAATCTCCGGACAAAGCAGCAACGACAACTCGAAAATCCGAAAGTCGCGTATCGAGAAGCAGCAATCGTCATTCTCCGGGAAGCTCTGTCTCCAAAGGACGTAAGTCAACCTCATCTCCTTACAGGGGCCCTTCTCGATCCAGTCATAGGAGATCGTACAAGGCGCCAGAGATACATGAACAAGGAATCCAGTCCCTTCCACTGACATCGCCTGGATCTCAGTCCGCTTCGAGCTCTGATCATCTGCGTTCCAGCAGGAAAGCATCCATGAACAACTTCCGAAGACTTGAATCGTCGCCACCAAAAAAATTAAGTTCTCCTCGGACACTACGTTCCGGCAATGCCACAAAGAAGTCGCGAAAGGGGAATTCGGTAGCCAATCCTGGAGCTCGGAATGTGTTGAGCTCTCATCGCAACACAACAAGAAAGTCATCCAAGTTTGACAGGAATGGACAGCGGGATTCTTCAGCTAACGACGGGGCTCAGAGCTTGACAATGTCATCTGATGATCGCCGTGCTAGCAGCAAGGCATCAAGAAACAGCAGCAGACAATCCAGAATTCAATCAGATGGTGTAAACGCGACGCCCCCGCCTCCTTCTTCCCTTCAGTTGGATCAAACTGGTACGGAGCCAACACTTCAGGCTGTTACTGCCCCAGGTCTTGACGAAATTGAAGCCGCAATACAACAAGGCAGAGATGAAGAACGAAGAGCTAGAGAAACGCAAGATCAAATAGCTAGGCAAAGAGAAGAAGAACAAAATGCTTTGGTATCTACCATTGCAACAAGAGAGAAAAACAGCAGAAAGCGGAAATACATGATGGCTGCTTTTGTTGTTGCCGTTATTGCTGCAGGAGTAACCGCGTGGCTGTTGGTATCAAGGAATTCTTCGAACAATCTTGATGACGATTCGTCTCAAAATGCAACCATTCTTCCGCCTACGACAGCCAAAGAAGTTTCTGATACCCCATCTTCAACTCCTACTACCAAAGAGGATCTTGGCGTCGTTCCAGATGATGTCGGCTCACAAGCCGAAGCGACCTGTGAAGCCATTAGCAATGGCGAACCTGTCTCGGGACAAGACGATCTCGCTGTTCAAAAATACGATATCTTGATGGATGTTATGCTGGATTCCGAAACCGAAGATCTATCGCCACTCACCATTGAGCTGAAAGACAAAATCCAGCGCCTCCTTTTGCCCTCTCTGGCGGGATGCCCGAATGAACGTCGGCGTTTGCAGATTGAGGTCTATATTGTCAACGCATTGGTGAACGCTGAAGTCAATATTGGTGCTTCTTGTTTTGCTGCTGATTTGGAGAGGCCTTGTCACTTGTATGTCATAAAGCTGGACATCTACGTCCAACGCACTGTTTCTTCTGCTGATTTTTCGGAAGACATTCTAGACAAGTTCCGAGAAGCACCTTTGGTAGATCAATTGGGGTTGCTGTCGCCATTTCAGAGCATCACAGTCGTCGATGTCATTTATTCCGCCGACGAATCTGCAGGTCCATCTGGTAAGTACGACAATTCAATCAAAGTCTGGATCTCTCTTCACTGTTCCCAAACAATTTTTTTCCATAGTGACCCCATCGACGCTTTCGCCAACGGAATTGCCATCGGCGAATCCAACAAGGGCGCCAGTCACTTTTCCTACAACGGAAGACCCTACAAAGGCACCGACAACAGAACCATCATCCAAGCCAACTCTTGCAACTACGACACCACCGACGGCACCACCGACGAAGCTTCCCACAGAAAGTCCGACCAAGAGTCCAACGCCTGGCCCAACTCTACCCCCAACGTTGGTACCAACGCCTGGTCCAACTCCAAATCCAACGCCTGTGAGGACTAGGTTTCCTACGACACAACCTACTTTTTCACCGTCGGCTAATCCAACGACGGAGCCAACTCCGGTGTTTTCGGCTCAACCTTCCGCAACACCTTCGACTCTGCCTTCTTCTGCATCATCAATTATTACATGTTTTCAAACTAGTTTGGAACTGTCTAATAATGTTAGGCGATGGGTTAGGTTCCCAGCATCAGTGGAGGTGCAATATGGCCCAATAGGCGACTGGTGCTTTGATCGAAATGTGACTTCTATGGAAGCTCTGTTCTCAAGCATCCCTTCTTTCAACGAGGACATTTCAAATTGGGACGTTGCTAATGTCAACAACATGGGGAGCATGTTTTACAATACACCATTCAATGGAGATATTTCCTCGTGGGATGTTTCTTCGGTAACAGACATGAATAACATGTTTATGCAAGCAACGTCCTTCAATCAAGACATATCATCATGGAATGTTTCATCTGTCACCAACATGGGGTTCATGTTCAGATTTGCGGCATCATTCGATCAAGATATATCATCGTGGGACGTCTCATCTGTCTCCAATATGGAGAATATGTTCGCTGGTGCATCATCCTTTAATCAAGACATCTCATCATGGGATGTTTCTTCGATTAGGGGGATGAAGGAAATGTTCTCGCAAGCGTCTTCCTTCAACCAGAATCTTTGTGCATGGGGATCGCGTCTTCCGTTCATTGGTGTTTTTGTTGACGACATGTTTGACAACCAGAGCTGCCCTTCAACAAGTGAACCAAACCTTCGATCAGAAACACCAGGCCCATTCTGCCACTTTTGTGAATAAAAAAATAAAGTATATGGAGTTATTAATAGCTGTGTGTCGATCGAGTTCCTGAATTCATGGCTCTTGCATTTCTTGTATCCTACCTAATATCGATGAGGCTATGATAAAGCTATTTACGTAGAGCGGGATTTTGTGATGGGTTGAGGAATTTAATCTAAAGCTTCCACCTGGAAGATTCGGATTGGATGCAAATAGATTGATTCAATGATTTTTTGTTCTTTGTCGACCTCTTCGACCATCGTCACTTTTTCTTCGTCCTCGCATCATCTGAAATAATAAAACACAGATGATGCGGTGTTCTCAACGGCAAAAAGTGAAAATGCACACTAACAAGACCGCTCCATTGACAATGAAGCCACCTTCTTCAGCACTTAATAATGCTTCAAAACTATCCTTCAAGACGTCCTCCTTGGTAGTATGCTTTTGCATTGGAATGAGCCAGTTGAATTTGGTGACTTCCTTCACCATGATTCCGCCATCATCATCATCATCATCATCGCCTGAATCGGCATCATCGTCACGAACGTTAGCGTTACTGCCTTCTTCTTCTACAAAAACAACAACAGCCACAACAACCACATCCACTAGGTTATCCATGAGTAGTCGCGGAGGCGGAAACTTCCAAGGTCGCTTGGGTCGGTATGGTGGCATTCCTGAAGAAGATGAACAGGAGCAAGCCTTCACTTGGGATTGGGATGACGACGAAGATGACGTCAACAATGATGACATGTTCGGACAGGCACAACAACAACAATCTCAATCATCCAATAAGATTAATACTAGTAGTGGCGATGACAGCGAGCTACCTACAGGTGATATTCCAGGTGCTACTATATCAGAGGATTTGAAGCAAAAGGCCAAGAATTCTCATTTGGATGCCAAGGAAGAGGCGTCACAGGGAGGATCCAAATTTCGAGAGCTCATGGCACGGGCGACGCAACATACTGCTGTCACACCTCCACCACAACCCACATATGCTCCGCCTCCACCACAACCCGTTACCACCGCCAGCATTCCACCCAATCCCATGGATTTGTCCATCGAAGAGCAAGCGGCACTGTTTCGTCAAATGATGATGGAGAAGCAAGATCCGCATGCACAAGAAATGGCCCAATTCCAAAAGCAACAACAGCAGCAGGAACGCAAAATGAAAGATCCCTATCAGGCTGCAACTCCTCGAGTTTATGGACCACCACCCGACTTGAGACATCCCTATTCCCATCCAGATCCTGCTGTCTCGCTTCCACCACCAGCACCAACACGTCCCAAAGATTATCGCGAATATGGCACTGGTCCGGATGGTCGCAAGGTTGGCCGGAATGCCGATGCCGACTCCGTGAGCAATGCCGCTGATGTGTATCTGGCCCAATTGAAGCGAGATTCCACCACTCGTAATTATGCCCGCTATGCTGGAGACGATCAGGTGGCCAATCAAGTCTTTCATGATCCCAGCATTGCAGAAATTCATGCTCCCGAGAATCCCTATCGAGAGGCTCAGCGGGAAAAAGAGAGGGAATTGTACGACACGGTTCCAGAAGAAATGCTCATCTTTCAAGAGTACACCAAAGTGGAGGAATATCAAGCAGCACCTCGAATGAGTTACAAAGAGAAGCTGGCACAATATAAAGACAAGAAAGAACAACAACAACAGCAACAACAACAAGGTGGACAACAAGAACAATAGATTCATCATACTCTTAGAAGCGAACACAATAAATCAAGAAGAACCGCCCAAAACCAATATATTGATTGCATTGAATCATCAGCAGTCAAGGCGAATCAATCGATCAATCATCAATAATAATGCGTAAGGCAATAATTTTTGAAAAGAGCACATGGCTACATATTACATATTTATCTTTTTTGGCTGTTGAGGTCAGTATCCATTTTATATTGCGAATACATGCTTGAACCCTGAAATCATACCCATCTCCCCAATAATACAGTATGATAGTTCACATTCCACATTCCACATTCCACATGCAATATAAAATCCCTGTGCCCCATTTGACTCGTTTGACTAACTGCAAACCGGTATGCTTGATGTGAATAAGGTACACGTACGAATAGAGAATGATGTTCCATGAGAATCTCCAGAATAAAATAATGAGGATGACGACAGCAGAAACGAGCCATTTGAAAGATACCTCTGCAACATCAGACGAGGATACAATTTTACCTACAGTACACATCTACAGGAGCGATTGGGTGAGTGGGTAAGTAACTGTACTAGAAGCAATGCTAGAAGCAGATGCGGTGCAAGATTTTGTTTTGAGTGTGCAATAAAAATAAAAATACTAGCATCATTCATTTACGATTTTAGTACAATCATGAAATTCCATAAAATCATTGTGTGGTGTAGTGTAGTGTAGTGTGGCGTTGTAGCGAGATACATAAATAAGGAAATCAATCCATCGTCCTCTTGTCGATTGATTGATTGATTGGTTCATTCATCCATCCATCCATCCAGAATATGCTGTCAATGACACCACTCTTGGATCAATTCAAAGTGATCCGTCACTTTTTGATCCAGTAGTGTTTGTGTGTGTTCATCAACCGACCATATCCCTGTTGATGATGCGGCAAACAAAGTCGAAAGAAAGTTCACCCCATGCATCTATATAATATTTAGTTGCTGACTTCCGCAGCAGGCGCCGAACTTCCATTGGTAGTAGAAGGAGATTCTCCATTGGGAGATGTTTCCGAAGGTGCCGAACCATTAATGGGTTGGTCCACCCATCCAATCTTTTGACGGACCTTGTAATGGATGCGTTCGCAGACACGAAACACCAAAGCTCCGCAAAAGGCACAGGTTCCAGCCTTGCCACCCCATCCACCGGTCCACAACTTCATGGTGAGCGTGAGAGCGTGAATGAGTCCACCAAAGGCTCCGGCCACACCAAACCAAAAGAGTGTTTGCAAGGCAGTGGGATCCGCACGTTTCCAATCGGTGCCACCACCCTTGCCCTTTAATAATCGGGTGGGGTAGGACATTCCGGTAAAGGCGCCACCAAACATGATCATGGCACCATATTCGTCCAAAAATCCTCCCATGCCCATGACCAAGGCGGCCAAGATTCCAATGACGGCGGAGGCTCGGACGGGATCTTGTAGGTCATTGACGCGGTTGGGATTGTATTCGGCCACTTCTCGCAAGAAAATGGTCAAGACACTGCCCAAGGCACCACAGAGCATGCCATAACCACAGGGAGATGCCTTGACAATGGCAATCAAGGCAGGAAGTGAGGTTGGCAGACGAGAGATCCAGCCAAAGGTGGCTTTTCCAAACAATAGAGCCGTCAAGTTACTGGCCATAAATGCTTGGAAACTCAATTTTCCGCCGAGACCGACCCATTTGCCGCCTCGATGAATCAAGATTTCAAAGAGGGTGGCAGTCAAGGAGGCAGCGGTCAAAATCATGCCCCAGTCTCCATTGGCATTCATGCCGGCAAAGGAACCGCAAAAGGCGGCTTGTCCAAGACCTGGTGACCACAAGGAGATGGCCAAGGTGGCGGCAGACGACGCCATGACGGGGTTGAGTCCATTGACCGAAATTCCGTGCCAGGTAAAAATGGTGGCTAGAATTCCAGCCAGAAATCGAGCACGAGTATCTTCGTAATCGTCGGCCATGCCTTTGGGATCAGTCTTCCAGAATTGCTTGATGGCGTTTAGTGCAGTGCTCCTTTGTTCTTTTCGCATCATCATTAGCGACGACGACGACGACGACTTGCTTCGGTGATTCGTCTTCTGATGAATCAACGAAGATGCTGGCAACAGGGGAGCCGAACGCGGAGTGCTAATGGCTTTATGATGCTGATGATGAAGAGAAGAGATTCGACTTGTTGTTGTTGTTGGTGATTCCACAAAGGCATGCGAAACTGTGGCGGTCAAACTGAGCACAAGCAAGGCAATCATGGAAACCTTAGAAGTATTTCTGAATGACGAGGTGGTCGCTGACGACATGACAGAGGACGACTGTCGTTTGCAATCTTGTTTGTATTGTTTTGATGATTCCATGGAGATAGATTGGATGATTAGCGTGAGCTTTTGATTGTTTTGGATTGTGTTGTGTTGATATCAGCTTGTGAATGAATGAATGAATGAATGAACGAACCAAAACACCTTTTGCTTCTGAGAAGACCTAATAAGTTTGTTTTTGTGTGATGTGAGAATTTCGAAGTTTTTGAAAAATCGCAACAATCCTGCTTGAGGTCCTGCAGGCACAACAAATCCAAAAGTGACGTAGGTAATCAAATTCGTGACGTCAACCAGTCTTGATGTTACGTGAAAACCCTACCACATCACATGCCACGTAAGCAGGATGGTACACAAAAGCTTGTTCGACGTCACACATCGGAACACTTTGTCTGGTCATCTGTCCGGCAGCAGAAGAGGAATCAGAATCTTTTTCCGATCCTATGAGTCGATAACAGATGTCAGATTTCAGGACCAGAGATGCCACTCACATCAGCACCTTATTATTCATAAAAATATGGAAGGCATATGAGCGAGAGCTGCCATTTTGAAGCAAGTGGATGGACGGCAATAATAACCATCGACAATACAATGCTTGCTCTCTCCGCCTCCTTTTTCTGATAATCACCGTGTTTCCACTGATTGGAAATCTTGTATTGTCGACAAGAAACCTACTGGAAGGACAAGAAGAAAAATACTCAAAGACTACTCCTCATACTAATATTATTTATGGTCAGGATGTCTCCTTGCGGTCGTCTCGCATCATCAGCCATTCCCCTAAGAATCGTGAGGACTCTAATAACAACAGCAACGACAGCAGCAACAACAACGACAACAACAGCATGACAGCACGTCCAATAGCAATGGTTCCATCATCACGCAATAACAACAACAGTAACAGTATCAATGAGGATGATCCAATGATTACATGTCGATTGCAAATCGAGCGCTGGCTCCAACCGCAAATTGCCCATTGGATTCAACAAGAACTGCCCATTCTGGATTGGGTATCTAGGCTGCCCAATGGAATCTTGCAAATTCAGTTTCTCAGCGAGCATTTGAAATGGACCAACAGTGAAAAGACCCAAGGTTTAGTTCTCAAACATTTCCATTGGTATTGTGGTACTACCAATAGCAGTACTAATGGCACCTATCATGAACCGGCAATGGTGCATCACGTCAGCAAATCCCATTTGTTCTTTCTACACTGCAATCTGACGAGTATTCAGCAACATAATCATGATTATGATGAGGAGGATGTTGACATTCAAGTGTGGACCAACGACTCATTTCCTTCTTCCACCAAGAAGCATGTCACGACTTTGTATCAATTGAAACCACTCATGGATTGCGATGCCATAGAGCAACAACAATATGGAAAACCACCAACAACGCCACAAAGTCCCACCACCACCACCACCAACAACAACAACAACATTCAGTTGGCAATGTGTTCCGTCCTGTATGGTTACGACGCCTCGGCCATGCTTGTCCAATTTGCCGAATATTACGCCCATTACAAACGATTGGGAGTTCAACACTTTTGGGTCTTTGTCAATACGGCAACGACGACGACGACGACGAGTAATGGAAAATTACCATCGACATCACTTCTTTCCATACAACTACAACCACAATCCACTACTCGTACTACTTATTTAGTATTACCAAACGTCGACGACGTCACGTACATTCCTTACAATTTTCGATGGAACGATTTCATGAAGTATGCCAACTTTAGTGCACCCTTTTTGGGGGCAAGCATGTGGCAAGAAGCCATGCAGAATCAATGTTTGTCACGATTGCGACGATATGGTGTCAAATGGATAATGACCCTAGATGTGGACGAGTTTGTGGAAATTCGTGGTAACAACGATGAGTCCTCGAGACGAGACAAAGAAGAAGAATATCCATTGCGATCCTTCTTGTCACGATATGACCAAGACGCAAACAATAAGAGACAGAAAGACAAGCCCGTTGGAGCATTGCGTATGAGGTCGGTCCCCTTTCCGACCAACCGGAAATTCGATTTACCCACATTTCGACCCTACCGCATGGCCATGGATCATGTACATCGGTGGGATGATACCCTTGGGACCTATATCGATGCCAAAAGACCCAAAATGATTTATCAGGCCCAACTCTGCGATGTTGCAGGAGTCCATTGGTGTCGAAGGTACAATCGCGGAGCTATTTCCCAAAGTTTGAATGCGACTCATGAGATTATGTTGCATCACATTCGAGCCGCCACCGCGGTGACGAATATTGGTTGGGTTATAAAAAGATTGGAGGAAAGGGAATGGTGAAAGATTCCGCAATGGCCGAACAATATCGCATTCAAGTATGTCATGATATGATCCATGGTCCATTTGCGGCGTTTGTTACGCATTTGGATGAAGCCAAATGCAACGATTGGCCACCGCCCAAGTCTGGTATGAACAAATAGGATTTTGATGATGATGATACAGTAGTATAGCAGTCTAAATGTGTAGTTTTGATTTCCAAAAATGGTATATCCCCATTATTTTAATATAGGATATTGCAATTGCACCACTTAGGATTTCCAAAATGTCACTATATTTGGCAGCACAAAGGAGGCTCCACATGTCGTTCGAGCAACCTCGCGGTCCACACCTGCTGCTGATCCATTTAGTGACGAATCATCATTATTCTTGTTGCTTGCCAACGACATTTCAAATTTCCACAGAGCCAACTCCAGTAGGCTAGTTTTCTCTAGATTGGCATATCCTTCAAGTACGGCACGGGTATTGAGAATCATTTCTTCTCTCTCGGCTCTGTCATCTACCTCATATATGGCATTTACACGAGCTGTCATGTCATGCCTCCATCGCTCTAGACCCCAACTGGATATGGAGTCTACCATCCATTTTTGAAGTACCATTTGAAACATGGATCTCCACGACTCGGTCCATATGCATCCCAAGAAGTCCGTCGCTAGGTTTCCACTTTTATCCTTCCAATCGAGCATGTTGACCAGACATTCCTCCAAAAGAATCTGCAGCAAGTCTTTCCGGCACTTGGCCGCCGAGAATAAAATGTGGAACGGGGTCATTCCAAATGGATCTGTAAGGTCTTGCTGGTAGGCTTGTTGCTCGATTTGTCGGTTCTCTTGATTCCAGTCCATTGCCTTCATTTGCTGTTTCAATGCCTCCGGAGTCGTAGAGGAGGCATAATAACAGAGCTTGTGAACGGGATAGGCATTGAATCGAGAGGATAGTCCGAGTACGGTATTTTCAACTCCATATTCCTCTTGTAGCAAATGACATTCGTCAAAGCACGTGTAATGAATCTTGCTGCTGCTGCTGCTGCTTTGCTGGTCTTGTTCATTATAATTCTTGGGCGGTCGTGGCAAGCAAATGTTTGCCAATGAATGACATTCGTGAAAGGCCCCTTCTTGGATCCACAACTCATCGTCAGCTAGAGTAGTAGCAGTAGCAGCAGTAGGAGGAGCAGGAAGTTCAATGGAAATCAAGCTTTCGCATCGATTGAACGCGCAAAAGCCAATCGATTGGATGGATTTTGTCAATGCCATTGCCTTCAAGGAGGTACACTTTTCGAACGCGTGTTCTCCCAATTCGACAGTTCCTTCTTGTATCTCAATCTCTTTGAGTGATTTACACTCAAAGAAGGTATGAACTCGAATGACTTTGACCGTGGAAGGAATCTTGATGGAGGACAAGGAACGGCAGCCAGAAAAAGCACCGGGCCCAAGAACTTTCAGTCCTTCGCACAGATGAACATTCGCCAAAGACCGGCATCGAAGAAAGGCATACTCATCAATGATCTCGACTGTTTTGGGAACCTTGATACTTTCCAATGACGAACAGGAATGAAAGGCATAAGTGCCGATCCTGGTCAGCAACGCGTTCGACATGTCCACTTCCCTCAAGGCGCTACAAGAATGAAATGTGTAGGATTCAATCATTTCCAAGGAAGAGGGGATCGTAACTGCTTGCAAGGCGGAACAAGTGAAGAATGCTCGTCTTTCAATCCTTTTCAATCCTTCAGGAAAGTGAACCTCCATTAGTGCCGAGCAAAATCCAAAGGCGTACCCTTGAATGACTTGCACAGTGGAAGGTAGCGTAATCGTTTCCAAGGCAGGACAAGATCGAAAGGCATTTCTTCCAATGGTTTTCAGACCCCCTCCTTCAGCTTCGGACGATTCAGTGAAGGTGACTTGCTTCAGCTTCAGACGCTTCTTGCAACATTCAGCTGGCAAGTCTTGGACCGCAGGATCGATGGTAAGCCTTTCCACTTCCATGGGAATTCGTTCATCTTGCTTTCCCCCGAAATACGTAAAGAAAGTGGTCATCTTGATGGAGTGGACGGACACTCTTGCGTTCGAAGCTACTGTACTGTAGAAGTCTCGATTGGTGATATGTCTTTGCTTGCCCTAACTATTATTAATATCTCCCTGTTGTAACATTCTGAACGATCTCTGATGATGATGACAATAATGATGACCGCGCGGTAAATGCCGTGGGAAGAAAAATAATATAAGATAAAACGGATGCACGCGCGACGATGCGATGCGATTGCACTGACTGCGACTCACGGTGAAGCACTACGGTTTCGCGCTAGGGAAATCTGCAAGACGGTGTAATTTTCCGAAATATGGGTTACACACGGACAGACGGGTCCCATTGCCAGCGGGATCGCCTGTCGATTCCCGCTTGACCTGCTTGACCAGCGGTAGTCCCGAGATCAGTCTCCGTGAATTTTGTATTTTGCGTCAAAAAAGTTTTGGCGATTGTGGTACAAAATGTACGAAGAGGTGCAAGAAAACTTCTGACGCTCGCTGAGAGACTGATCTTGGGGCAACCGCCAGCCGTTAAATTCTAGCGATGCAATTTGCCAAAATAGACCTCGCCTTCAAACACCTGCCGGAATATCCAGCACTGGCCAACGGATGAATGCTCGCCATATGAGTAGACGACTGAAACCGTTGTTGCCACATTAGCTTCCGGTGCAGAAATAGGATTTCCATTTCCGCACGGTGCAGAAACCAGCTTCCGAGTGAGAGCCAGCTTTTGATACAGAAAAGTCTCCCCCCAAATCTCCCCCAAACATAACCTGTCTCTTGTACTTCATAATGAGACTTTCACCTTGGGCTACTACACTGTCAACATACTCCAACACGAATCAGTAACACCTGCCCCAATTACCATTTTGATAAATGGAGATTTGGGAGAGAGGAGGATTGTAAGCACTGAAATATTCCCTTGATCTGATCAGCGATTGATCTTGGATGTTGTGTAATGCTGAATATGTATAGTTTACTATAGTGTCAATAGATTGCTATCGGAACAGGAGCTAGTATCTAGCCACCGGAGGGATACAAGAACTATGGGAGCTGAGGCACCCAAAGCTAGTTGTATTCATATATCTCTCCTGACATTTTCTTTTGGCATTCTCCACTCCCTACCGGTATCTTTTGGCATATGCAATCAAATACTTCCCCCAATTTTTCTTTCCCTTAAAGAAACCTTTTGGCTCCAGCTTCCGAATGCGGAAATGGAAATTCCATTTCCGCATGATGCGGAAATGGAAATTCTATTTCTGCATCATGCGGAAATGGAAATTCTATTTCCGCATGATGCGGAAATGGAATTTCAGAGTTGTGGATTCCAGATTCCACATCCGTTGTATTCACTGTTGTACGAGGATGCAGTGCTTGCAACGCCAATTTGAATCGTGTGCAAATTTGATTCGAGCTTTTTCATTCCGCGTGCAGACGACGATGACCGTTATTTTTTGATACATTTGTGTTGGCACGTAACCCGCTTGAGAGAGCGGTGACACCCGTCTGTCCCCTTGTCCTTATTTATGAAAATTACCCTGTCTTGCTGACATTGACACAAAGTGACATGCCGGCGCGATATGGCTTGCCTTTCGTTCGTATGAGTCGAACCTGTTGGGTTGGATGTCCGCACAGTGGATCAAACCGGGAATGTTATTCGGGATCCATCCCGTTTTTTTGGAAGTAGTCGTATGTGTCATATATTTGAGTCTAGTGAGTCTAACGCACCGAATACCTCTTGAAATGAAGTTTATTTAGCGTATGGTCGGACGAGTCAACCAAACGGGTTAGATACAACACATAAAATAAAAATAATGTTTGCGCGGATGGCGTGTCTTTGATATCCCACAAAATCTGGAAATTTCTTTGAGCCTTCAAATTTTTAACCCGCAAGATGGCAAGCTTTGAGTTGCTAGAAAGCTTGAATGAAGCTTCAGACTTCCCTTCAAACAAAGGTATTCCTGTATGTCATCAATTGAAGTTGGCTGTACATCGTGTGATGGTGTTGGGGAAACAGTGGTGACACCAGATGCTGGAAAGGTACCAACTGTTGACACGAGATTTTTCAATACGGGAGATGGACATGAAGGAGCCCCAGCACCCCAAGTGACACCGAATGAAGAAACAGCTCAACCTAGTGCTAGCTTCAAAAACTACATTGATGATGACATTGAAGGAGAGATGAGCACATCAGCTGATACAAGCAAAGCTCGAATGGCAAGTTTTGCTGAAGCATTCCTGAAATCATTGCCATGGAGACCAGTCAAAACTGCTGGTAGGAAAAGAAAACCACATCCTTTCGAGTCTCATTTAGTCAACGAATACCAAGAGCAGTCTCTAAAAGAGACGATGTGTCGCACATACCCGAATCTAAAGAACCAATTTCACATGAAGGGGATTGGATACTACCCGCTTTGTATACGCCTATTCCTTTGTGCACTTGGTTATTTGTTGTGTGGTCTCCCATCTGATTACAATGTGGATCCATGGGAACTTCTTGCAACGGCTTTTTGCAAAGATTGCTCTAGCAAGGAAATGAAGGATGCTTGCACTCGGGCAATCAAAGAATTCCTCTCCCTTCATTCATCAAACAACAATAGCATTGAAACAACCGAACTAATGCGCACCTTCATGCAAAAGTGCACATTATCAGCGAAATGCAGACCCAAAAGCGAATCAAAACAACCTGACCCCTTGCCTCAGTATCTGAATGACGTTTACAGCAAAAGTGATCCATTTTTCAAGTGCGTCTTTGGACAAAAACCAAAGCCTTCTAAATGGGATATCAATATGCAGATGTTCTTGTTTGCAATCGATGCGTTGTGTTCACGGAGCACAAAGAGAGAGTTCGCCATACGTTCAGTGGCAGGTTGCTCCGACAACCAGCTCAGAAAGCTCAAACCTGGCCCCCTTCTGAGAGCTATCCCAGATATTGTGCCAACCAACGTCTCTGAAAGCGCCAAATTGTTGATCGAAGTAAAGACAGATGACACTCTTCCGAGAGCAATCCAAGATCTTGTGCCAGCAAATGACTCTGAAAGCGGCGAACTGTTGATTGAAACGAAGTCACCTGCCGCTCTTCTGATAGGTATCCAAGATATCGTACCATCCAACAACTCTGAAAGTGGGGACTCGGGTATCTCTTGGATTGAAGAAGAAAATGCACCTGAAGTGGCAGTGGATCTTTCGCCGGAAGAAACCATGCACAAGGAAGACAAACTCGTTGTGGAAATCTTTTGCAAGAGACTCGCAATGGACAAGAATGATAGGAGTTCTATAATAAATGAGCTCTGCCATCTTATCACCAGTAAGACTTTGGAGGAATCAAAGACATCACAAGAACAAATCTCAAAACTCAGTTTCAAAAATACGAAGAATCGAGTGATTGAAAAGCATTACGCCCTCTTATCTCAGCCAGCAAAAGACTTCACTGCCTTGACGCAGTCGGCCAAGAATAAGAAAGCCAATCACATGAAGAATATTGTTGCTTGCTTGGTGGGTTCAGATATTGCCCAACAACAAGCATTGCTGAAGTTGGTTTATAGAAAGTTCGAGGACCTTATACTTTTGCACAAGGAAGACTTTAAGTGGACCGAAGCACAGCTAGCACTACTGTTATCCATTGTGGACAGTGCCAATATTTTGTAATGATTGATCGAATGGAACGCAATCTCCTTGGAAATACGAGATGCCCGCCTCAACTGAAGAAGTATTTGTCAAAGATTGGGAAGAATTCAAGAATGCGCATTGAGGCTGAGATGATACCCCTGGAGATGAACGCCAGCAAAGAAGTGAAGCCACAACTCTCTTGGTATCTAGCAACGCCACTTCGGGCTCTGGAACGACAGGTGGAGGCAGCATTTCTGTCTGGCAACTTCATGCATTCAGACCACTTCTCGAGATTGTTGGACAAAATTGTTGTTGCAGTCGGCGCTGACAAAGATGAATTGGCAACATCCATGTTACTTCGAATTCTGAACCGAATCATGGGGAATTGCAGTGACTATGTTACAACCCTAGCAATGTACGAGAATGCAGCGGAGTGCTATGGGAATATGGAGAAGACATTTTTGAAGGAGGGTTCTCCGATACAAAGATTTCTGCAATTGCTCCTGGATAACAAATTGTTTGCTATTACGGTCAATTCAATTGACAAAAACGAAGGAAACATTGTCGAAAGCCAATGTATCGTCATTAATTTGTTTGCAGATCATCGTCAAAGTGCAACTGATGAGACGATGCTTCCGGAAATTGATGTGAAGCTTGAACATTGTGAAGCCAGTTTTTTCTCGAAACCAGACTTCAAGGTGGTGACGTCATCGCAAGATTTTCAAGATTTTCAAAATTTTGAAAATGAATCAGAAGAAGACATATATGCATCCTCTACTTGTACCTGGAATGAGAAGGATGACAACAATAACGGCGATGAAGAGCAGTCAATTTCAACTGTCTCAACTTTTTACGACAGTGAAATCACCGATGAATGTCAAGGAAAGGAGTATGTCTTGGATGACCCAACAAGCATAATTGATGATGACGACGAAGATGAAAATTCCTCTGATGAGTATGATGGAACGACTGAAGAAGAGGAAGACATGGAGGGTTATAACTTGACCCACCATGATAGAGCAAGGACCGACAATGAGGAACAATTCTTTTCTAATGGAGAGGTAGAAGAGCCATCTCTTGGGATGGGATGCATCGGGTTGAAGCTGGATGATGAATGGGAAAATGGATCCAACGGGCTTCGCCTACAGCTTGTTTATGATGGCGACAACAAGTACTATGGATTCCGTATCTTTTTGAACAATCCTGATGTCGATGGTGATGGCCAACAAGACAAGGTTTTGGTTGCGGGCTTGTTTGAGAAGCCGATTCAACGGCGGGACCCAAATGATGAACTGATCGATTGTGGCTTGAAACAGGTAATTGGATTTGTTAGCTGTGACAAGAAGAATTCCTGGGCGACTATGGGCATGATGGACAGCGCGAGTGCAAGGTCGAACTGTATCTTCTGTACCCAACCAAAAAGTACTTATAAGACGAACTTTCCAGACTGGATGGTACAGTATGCCAAAGAACACGGTCTCGAGAACGAGCGATTAGCAGCCAAAGTTGAAGCTGGGTGGAAAGATTATCCCTCCCGCTGTGGAGAACACTCAAATTCAATCATGTTTCAGAAGCTTGAGGAAGATACCAACAACGGGAACAACACATATTCTGAAGATGAATTACGAGACATTCGAGAAAGACATGGATGTGTAATCAACAAGCCACTTCTTGATATCCATCCCTCAAAACAAACTTTTGGAGCCCTGCATAATGGGGCCGGCTTAGAGAACCACTTCAAGAATAATATAGATGGGAGACTGGGAAAAATTGATGCACTCAAGACGAATCCGGAAACAGTGACATGGTTGGAAAAAGTGGCCGATGCACAGGGGCGGTGCAAGCAAATAAAGGCCACCACCAAAAGGCGGCTTACTACATTGAAACAGAAAATCAAAAAATTACAAGCAAACATTGACAGCACAAGAATTAACGTCGAACGAGCGAAGGATCCTCGCAGAAGATTTGCATCAACGACGGATGATTGTGTGCATTACATGCAAGCACAACTTGCTAGTTTGCTTGCTGAGAAAGAACCCGTTGTCCGTGAATGCGGCAAAAATCTCCGACTCCACAACGGCGCAGTTGCCTTACTGAAAGCTATTGAAAAATATGACGGTACAAAGAAGCCCAAGGGACCAGCTCAGTGGGCCTTTCGCAAAGCAATTGAAATTGCAGGTCCCAAATTCAATCCACAATTTGGCGGAATGGATTTGTCACATGCTCACGGATTATTGATGCTTGAGAAATGGTCCGAGATCATGGCAATGGTCTGTGGTGCATACAAACCGGGTGATGGTAAGCATGAAATGGTTGCAAAAGCAATGGAGGGCTCAGAAGAGATAGCCACGCCTTTGTTCAAGATGAACAAGCTCCTCAAGTCCCAAAAAAAGTGGAATGATGAAAAGATCAATGAACTGAAGGGGTATTGTTACCATGTGTTCTTCAAATGGTTGGATATCTTTCCCAAACAGGGCGTCTTTCCAAAACTTCATGATATGGCTTGGCATATCCCACAGTTCGTTACTCATTTCAAAATGTATGGAATATTGTCAGAAGAATCTATGGAGAGTCGTCATATAGTTCACAAGAAATTGGCTAGAATATTGAGATTCATGCCAAACAAGAAGCAGCAAAATGAAGTGTTCACAAACCGCCTTCAGGTTTATCAGCTTCCAGAATTTGAAAAGGTGAAGGCAGAACTGATTGCAAAAACCACCAAGAAGAAGAGAGGAAAGTACAATGTCAAGCCAAAGGACAATGTTTTGCCCATTTTGCTGCCTGAGCTGGTCATGGATGGCGCGAACATTTGCATCAACAAAAGTATGTCAATCGAACCAGGTTTGCTTGAAGTCTACAATATGGTTGTCTGTGGCATTGTTCCAAGCTCCTGGGAAAAAATATTTAGGGACAGAGACAATATCGATGACACCCAAAAAATAAAGGCTGGATATTCTTCCCAACTAGATAGATAAAATAATTAGTCTAGTATGTTATTGTTGACTGCTAATTTGTGCTACTCATTTCATGCTTTGAGGAGCAAAAGAAGCAAACTACTTTTAATAATCCATGAGACAACATTTGCGTCCTCATTGTTGTTGCTACCACACGCCACTCGATTGGTTGGCGACATCTACAGTTTGATGCTCCGTCCATTCGTAGCTTTTCGGAGAGAACGTGACACACTTGGCAATTGCAGGCTGACCAAGGCTGAACTACCGGCCATAGAAAGGATCAGGGCATCACCTACCAATAAGAAAGGCACTGGCAGAAAGTTGACTTGGAACGGTAATTGGATTGCCAGCTTTGCCCTCGTTTGCCGTATCCTCGCTCGGATGATACAAGCTTCATTTTCAAAATTATCTTACCACCGCTTCCAAATGCATTGTATGGCGCTCTGAAGCCTTGAAAGTGAGTCCATCCGGTTTTTATTTGGTAATGCCTGATGTAAATTTAGCTCGGCTGTTCTGATTTGATCGTAACCTCGTGATCTGGTCAATTGCAATCGTGTTGCTTGATCACAAAGATGTGCATAATCATTCCAATCCCTGCATGGGGCATCAGAGGCTAGATAGATTTGGCATTGTCAGAACTTGAGAGTATCGACAGCATTCACATCTTCCTCTATTCTTTGGCTAGAGGCTTGATCGTGACTTATGAGGATCGACCCCTGCCCAATCCTTCTGTCTTCGTATTCAAATTGTTGCGCTTCAGTGGGGTATAATAGTACTGGTACCCGTACGCGGTACCGGTGACTGACTCAACGGAACTCTATTCCTGAATGCCAATAAAACAAGCACAAATTTTTACATACATTACGAACTTCAATCCGACTGGCACTACGCTAGTAAAAATGATTTCATACAATACATGCATACGCATTGCGTTCATGCGAGTATACGACTCGTGCGACTACAAAAAAACGGGATGGCTGCATATTGACACTATGTTAGCTCCTATACGATTCCCGTTTTTGGCCCATATGATCCACTGTGTCCGTCTGGTCTGCGTACGTTTGACTTGATAGAAAAATGTATGGAGAAATGGTGAAAAGTACTGCACCTGGTACACCTTCAATGAAATAAAAAACTATGCGGACGTCAGCCGACTTCTGCAAAATATCTTGCAAAACTATAATACTGCGATAATAATATCTTGTCAAACGCTACAATACACCATTCCTTGTTTGGGTTAGTAGGGATTTATCAAAATGTTGTCTCAGAAACTAATTAGATACAGTATGAAATAACAATGGCACCATATCCTCATTAGTATGCCAACAACTAACTCGTCTGGTGGCAAACAAAGGTAAAGTAGGCTCCGACATCTCTGAAAATGCCCGAAACTACATCCTTCGCAGTAGGGATCTGATTGAAATTTCCTCTTTTGATGGCTGGGCCACTTTGCCCCGAGTTTGGACTGTCTTCCTTAGATGGGGAGAAGAATTGCCGTACTTTCTTCATTGGCTTAGATGAGGAGAAGAACTGCCGTGCTTTGCTGCTGCTGTCGCCGTCGCCTTTGTTGAAACCAGCGTCACTGTTATGGAGATCCACTGGCTCCAATCAGTCTCCGACTTATTCATTTCCCTCACTTCGTCTTTCTGCATGTAGTAACTCTTCGACAGCTGCTTTTCAAAACTTTTTCTGATGGCATAAAGGTGTACCACTTGTCTGAGATTCTTGATCGACGTCTTGATTGTCTGGCATATTGTAATTCAACATCTGCGGAAGACGAAGCTCCGGATTGGAAGGCTGCAAATGCACCTGCGGATAGGGGAAAAGGGCAGAACTGCAAGTAGGGACATCGTCAGCGACTGGAACAACGTTTGACAGTGTTGTAGTACTTCTTTCTACAAAGTCTTTGAAACACTTCAAGATCTTCTTTTTCTGGGTTCTTAGCGCATTCTCACTCCTTTTCCAAAGCTCATAAACATTACCCAACAATACGTTATCTCGTGCTGCCAAGCAAAGATTAATTGTTGAAAGGACGAAAACTTTTGAAAACTGCTGGCATTTCCTCTTTCCAAACCATTCCATGCGAAATGTTTCACATCCATTTTTTTCAAAGAAATCTTTTAGGAAATCTTTGTAGCTCTTTTGATTCAAAATCAAGTCATCCAATTCCTTGCGACGTATCTCAGTCTTCAATTGAATAGCATGATGTTGCAAGTGGATAGATTCTTGGTCGACGACTGTCAAGGACAGAATTGCCCTTGCACAACAGCGAAACTCGTGGTCTTGGTCCTTTGCAAGAAGGTTATCGACTTCTTCTTTCCCTCTTGGGGTTTCAGCAAATTCACGGAGCTCGTTTAGAAGATTTTCTTTTTTTACTGTTGATTTTGGGTGGCATTGGAGCAACGAGCAGATGTTTGGAGCAATAGTTCATGGCCTTGTGTTGTTTACGACCATAGAATCTATCAAATTGCATATATTGATAAAAATAGATCATTATCATGCTGTTTCTTGAAGCTAAGGTATCAACTAAAGCCTGAAGAAATTTAAAACAAGTTCGAATTTTCCTGGGTTGGACCAAAGATTTGTGACAAGTTGTTGTGCTGATGAAGTCCCTTTATAGTCGAAGTTGTTGTCGGAGAAACATTGAGGTGAAGACGTAGCGCGCCAGCCCTCCAGCTCAATGTTTCTCCGAAACCGTAGTGAAGACATTTGATTCATTCGACCGCACGTTTTGGCACAAAGTCCGAAAGCATACTGTAGCATTCGAATACTAATTCCATTCATTCTATAATTCATATTCTAGAATATTAGACTCTCGGACCGTGATTTATTCACTTTGTACAAGCAGCTTCTTGATCACCTCCAAATGTCCATTACAACATGACCTTTGGACTAGCAACATGACCAGGTCGAATTCACCCTTGCAACACATCATTTCAAATGGCGTCATTCCAATTGTGGCTTTGGCATGAGCATCAGCACCCTTTTTGACTAGAAACTTGACTACCTTCAAAGAATACCCTTTCCCACATGCAAAATGCATCGGCATCTCTCCACATGTGTTTTGGGAATTGACATCAGCACCCTTTTTGACTAGAAACTTGACTATCTTCAAATGACCCTTCCCACATGCGAAATGCATCGGCATCTCTCCACACATGTTTTGGGAATTGACATCAGAACTCTTTTTGACTAGAAACTGGACTATCTTCAAATGACCCTTCCCACATGCGAAATGCATCGGTGTCTCTCCACCTTTTGTTTCCGTCTTGCACAGTTTCATGTAGACGCCCATCATCGTCCTCATCGTTCATTTTCTTCTATCCTTCTGGGGATCGGTCAGAATGTTGTGATACGGTACATGCGATGGTTTGCGTCAAGATTGGAGTCAGACGCGTTTTATATGGCATACAGCAGTCGCTCATCGCATCAACAATCAATATTCTTATGCTAATTGACCCTCACTGCATGCCATATGCAAAGATGTCTTTCCTTCAGCGTCTGTGGCATTCACATTAGCACCCTTATTGAGTAACAACTTGAATACTTTCCATTGAAGACACTTTTGTGGCTTGTGTAAGGATGTATTTCCAATGTTGTCTGTGGCAGAAATGTCGGCACCCTTCTTGAGTAGCAAATTGACTACCTCTGAATGACCATTTTCGCATGCATGGTGCAATGGTGTGCTTCCCCTTTTGTTCTTGGCATCAATGTTAGCACCCTTCTTGAGTAGCAACTTGGCTACCTCTAAATGGCCCTCGTAGATTGCTTGATGTAATGGTGTGTCTCCAATTTGATCCTTGGCATTAATCTCAGCACCCTTCTCGAGTAGCAACTGGACTACCTCTAAATGACCTGCATCGCATGCCTTTTGCAATGCAGTGCGTCCCTTGTTGCCTTTGTCGCCAATGTCAGCACCATTCTCGAGTAGCAGCTTGACTATCTCTAAATGGCCCTTGTTGCATGAAACATGCAATTGTGTGTTTCCTTCATTGTCTGATGCATTAATGTCAGCACCTGTCTCGAGTAGCAACCGAGCTATCTCTAAATGACCTTTATTGCATGCAAATTTCAATGGTTCAACAAATTGATACTTGACTTGAATGTTAGCACCCTTCTCAAGTAGCAACCTAGCTATCTCTAAATGACCTTCAGTGCATGCAAAGTTCAACGGTGTGCCTCCAAATTGATTCTTGGCATGAATGTCAGCACCCTTCTTGAGTAGCGATTTGACTATCTCCAAATGACCTTCCTAGCATGCTGTGTGCAATGATGTATTTATATTTTGATTCTTGGCATCAATGTCAGCACCATTCTCAAGTAGTAACTTGACTATCTCTAAATGACCTGCATCGCATGCTGTGTACAATGGTGTATTTCCATATCGATTCTTGGCAACAATGTCAGCACCATTCTCAAGTAGTAACTTGCCTATCTCTAAATGACCTGCATCGCATGCAAAGTTCAATGGATTCCATCCATATTGATTTTTTGCATTAATGTCAGCACCCTTCTCAAGTAGCAACTTGACTATCTTAAAATGACCCCTGTCAAACGTACATGCAAAGTGCAATGGAACCCGTCCATCACTGTCTTTGGCATGAATGTCCGCACCCTTCTCAAGTAGCAACCTAGCTATCTTTAAATGACCTCCATCGCATGCAAAGTTCAACGGTGTGCCTCCAAATTGATTCTTGGCATGAATGTCAGCACCCTTCTCGAGTAGCGACTTGACTATCTCCAACTGACCATTATCGCATGCCGGGTACAATGGTGTATTTCCATATTGATTCGTGGCATCAATGTCAGCACCATTCTCGAGTAGTAACTTGACTATCTCTAAGTGACCTGCATCACATGCCATGTACAATGGACTCAATCCATATTGATTTTTTGCATTAATGTCAGCACCCTTCTCAAGGAGCAACTCGACAATCTCAAAATGACCCCTGTCAAACGTACATGCAAAGTGCAATGGAACCCGTCTGTTGGGATATGACGAAATATGAGTTTTTACGTTCCAAAATGAAACTATTCAAGTACGAGGTTTTCGACACGTGCGATCGGAATTTGATCGTGCAAGATGTCGGGATTCGACGCAAGTATGCCGGAC